TCTCCCTCCTCCCTTTTTTCCCTCTCTTTCTTTTTTGATTTGTTTTTTGCTTCAACTTTTTATTTGAAAAAATTTCAAACCTATACAAAATTTGCAAGAAAAATACAGCAAACAAGTTGTTACTATTCATTTAGCTTCACCAGTTGTTACCATTTTTGCCATGTTTGTGTTCTGTGAATATATGTATACACACTTACTATTTTTTGCTAGAGCATATACAAAAGTAAGTCACAGACTTGATCACCTTTAAACTCTAAAAGTTCAGTGCACAACTCCTAAAAATACTGCATTCTCCAGCATGGCACATAAAGTTATGAAATTCAGGAAATGAAACATCGTTGTAATACTATTATCAAAAACGCAGTTCATAACCCAATCTTGCCCACTGTCCTCATAATGCCCTTAGTAGCATCCCCACCCCCAGCCCCCAATGCAGGATTGCACAATGCTTTTGTTTGTCAGGTCTATTAATCTTCTTGAGCTTCCTTTTGACTCGTTGAAGAATTTTCTTTAGTGATGGTAAAAACACATAATTTAACATTCGCCGTCTTAACCATGCACATTCCAGCAGTGTTAATCATGTCTGTTCACATTGCCAAGCAATCAAGCAACCATCACCTCCTTCCATCTCCAGAACTTTCTCATTTTCCCAAACAGAACCTCTGTACCTGTCAGACACTAACTCCCCATTTCTCCTCTCCCCAGCCTCTGGCAACCACCATTGCACTTTCTGTCTCTAGGACTTTGACAACTGTAGGTACCTCATTAAAATGGAATCATACAATCTTTTGTGATTGGCTTATTTTACTCACATAATGTCCTCAGGGTTCATCCGTGTTGTGGCATATGTCAGAGTTTCTTTCCATTTTAAGGCTGAAAAATACAACATTATGGGTGTATACCAGATTTTATCCATTTATCTGTCAATGGACACTTGGGTTGCCTCTGCCTTTCAGCTGTTGTAAATAATGCTGTCATGAATATTGTGTGTCCTTTGTGTTTTATGACATTTTTGAAGAGTACGGCCTCCTTGTTTGGTACAGTATCTCTCCATTTGGGATTGTCTTATGGTTTCCTTATGATTTGACTTATGGTTGCATTTTTGGCAAGGACACAAAACAACTGATGTGTTCTTCTTCGTGTACCATATCAGGAGGCACACAAAGTCACTTTGTCCCATGGCTAGAGATGTGAGTTTGACCACTGGTTACAGTGTTGTTGCAGAGTCCTCCACTGTCAACATAATTTTTCCCCTAGTAGTTGTTAAATCATCTGTGAGGGGTACTTTAAACTGTTGAGACAAACTGTTTCCTAATATACTTTGACTCACTGGTGTTAGCTTCTGTTGGTGAGTCTTGCATGAATCATTTATTACTGTATTGGTTGCAAAATGTATTATTTTCTAACTGTTATCATTCCTTCCACATTGATTAGTTGATATTCTACTTACAGTGGAAGACATTTCCTTCTCTTCTGTTCCTTTCTAAAATTAATATGGACACATGGTCTCCCTCTCCTTTTAACAAATTTAATGCATTCTAGCCCATTGGTCTTACTATTCATCTTGATGCTCAAATTGCCTTTGGTTTGGCCAATGGGAGCCCCTTCCTTTTCATATGCTTCTATCATATTTTGAGCATGTGTTAACTTTGTGGCAGAAACAAGACATTCTAGGTTTCCCTTTCTTCCTTTGGTCCTGGACTCAATTGCTTCTCCAAAGAACTCTGCTTTCTTAGTGAAGAATGGGATTTAGGGACCATGTCTGGCCACTAGTGTGCTCACTGTTGATGGGTGTCACTGTTTCAGAGCACTTTCCATGGACACAGCCAGGATACCTCTGTAAATATGAATACCACACACAAACATTTTCGAGTTTTGGGTGTGGCATTCATATTTATGTAGGTATCCTGGCTATGAGATCATCCTAACTGTTCTCAGACTAGCCTAATGCTGAAGAGTCCTGACTTGCCTTCCACTATTCCACATTTGTTTCTCCTTTTCCTACAGCATCTCTATAACTATTCATTTACACAATCATAGCACACACACAAAATAGTTTCAAAAATAACCATACTGAGTAACGTTCAAGATTTATGCCCAGCAAAAAGATGTTTTTCTCTCTAGACTGAGGTTATCCTCAAATGTTACTTTAATATGTTTTTTCCCCTTCTATGTGGTTACTGTTCTGATCATCTGTTGCCTTGTAACATACCAGACAACACTTAGACGTGTGAAAACATTTCCTTGTCCTCACAGTTTTGTTGTTGACTGTGCTCAGCTGGATGGTTCTTGTTTGGGGCGTCTCAATTGGGTACAGCAGATAGTGTGAAGTCAGGCAATGACTTGGCCTGCATGGAAGTCTGAGATGGCTTCATCACACTTTGGGGCCTCAGCGCCCCCTCCACGGCTCCCTTTCCAGCAGAGGAGCCTGGACTTCTTTTTTTTTTTTTTTTTTTGAGACGGAGTTTCACTCTTGTTACCCAGGTTGGAGTGCAATGGCACGATCTCGGCTCACCGCAACCTCCGCCTCCTGGGTTCAGGCAATTCTCCTGCCTCAGCCTCCTGAGTAGCTGGGATTACAAGCACGCACCACCATGCCCAGCTAATTTTTTTGTATTTTTAGTAGAGACGGGGTTTCACCATGTTGACCAGGATGGTCTCGATCTCTTGACCTCGTGATCCACCCGCCTCGGCCTCCCAAAGTGCTGGGATTACAGGCGTGAGCCACCGCGCCCGGCCCTGGACTTCTTATACAGAATCTCAGGACTTCAAGAGAGGGAGTCAAAGCCGCTGGGCCAGGGAAGGCACGTTCCTGACGCTGGCCCCAAATCACTTCCACCATATTCCATTTATCCAAGCAGGCACAGGGAATTCCTCAAGTTGAGGGAAAGAAGAAAGAGATGCTGTGATGTTGGGGTTCAGGGGAGCCCTCAGTTCCCCTGAGAGGACATTTCTTCAGGTTATCGGTCTATCAGTCACCCAAGAATGGAAGAAGAGACCATGGCACAGTGCACTTAAAGTAAATACCAGACCCCAAAACAGTGTTTGCAGAAAGTGATTTATTTAGGTAGAGAGAGAAAAAGGAGAGGAAGAGAGAAAGCTTCCATGAGGGAGAGAGTGTGTGGAAGGGGATCCCAGAGGGGAAATCCAGGAGAGAGAAAGACAGCTTCCACCAAGGGAGTGTTCGTGGAAGGGGGTCCAAACATGGAGTCCCAAAGGGGTGTGGAAGAAGGGGACTTCTAACCTGGGAGGAATTCCCACCTTCTCCAAAACCCCTGGTCAATGAAAGAGTTCCCTTAAACTTCTGCCGGAGTGATTGACTTTTGACCCTTTCCCACACCTGGAAAAATTAAAACAGAAACCATTAAGTCTCCCAGATGGAGAGAGATGGTAGGTGGATATGGCACTGGGAAGTTCTTGCCCTTAAAACTACACCCCCTTGCAGACCCAGAAAGAGAACACGTTCTCTCAATGCCACCTTTCGATAAGAGTATACCAAGGTCTTGTTGCAGAAGAGTTAGTAGGATGGGGCTGTGGGCACAGCTATCTTTTGGAATTACCGCAGTTGTGTCAGCCCTCTGAGATGCAGCTGGGTTCATTTGCTTCTCTGTGTCTACAGGTTTATGTTTCTCCCTTCCTTCCTTGTTGTTAGAGACAGAATGCTTGCTCCTAGGTACCACAAGAAAAAATTACCATTCAGACAAAAAGTTTTCTCAGCAAGGCAATTTTACTTTCTTCAGAAAGGGTGCTGTCCACCAGCAATCTTGCCACAAAAGCACTCCCACACTCATGCAACCTCCAGATTTTTTACCACCAGGGAAGTACTTTGTCACGCCCTTGTGATGTTTGCTACCTTGGTCTGTGCACAAAGTGGCCTGGTCGTCACAACGCTGCAAGCCTTTTCCCCGCATTGCTGAGAGTCTGGGTTTATTCCTCACATCAGGTGGGTTCTGATTCCTTACTCCTGAGGTCGCCTCAGCGAGGCAGCAGAATATGCCTCCTCACAAGAGAGAACCAGAGACCACCCCCAGAGGAAGATGGGTCCCCATACAGGCCACCATTTGTTAGAGACAGAATGTTCGTTCCCAGGTACCATAAGGAAAAATCAGCATTCAGACAAAATGCTTTCTCAGCAAGGCACTTTTACCTTCTGCAGCAATGGTGCTACCCACCAGCAACCCTGCCACGGGAGCACACTGAACAAAGGAAAGGCAGGAATATTTATTCCATACTCATCGGGTCCTTACTGCTGTGTCCTGCCTCAGTTGGGTTGAGCTGGACCTCACAGTCTAGTCTAGACCCTTAAAGCTAGGCTAACAACTTAAAACTTTCCAAAATAGGTAAAGGCAGTGGAGAACAAAGGAAAAGAGGACATTACTTGTGAAAGGACTTAGAAAAGTAATAACATTCTTAAATAAGGAAGGGGCCTAGGCTGCGAGCTGGGACATACCTGTGAGCACGTCCAGCACAAGCATCTTGGTAAGAGTACAAGGACATAGAATGCACTTATTCCTCTTTTATCTAACAGCTACATAGGGTAGGGCTTAACAAAGAATTACAAGCAAAAAGCAAGAAGGCTTTGAAGAAAGTTAGTCTTTAATAGAAAACTATTATTTCTAACATTTATTATTTATTCTTTAACAAGAAGGGAAACTTTGAAGAGGAACTTTTTACTTTCTACACTTGTTGACTTAAATTTTCTGAATATGTAAAACGTTAACTTGGTTCCAAGAGTCAAAACTATGCAGAAGAGCTAGGATATACTCAGAGAAGTTCTGATCTTTTCCCATCCCACCCAGGCCATGCCTACCCTTGAATAGGAAACCTATTTCGTTTCTGGTTTATTTTGGTTTATTTTTGTAGGAATAAGTATATGTACTTATATCCTTTCTTTCCTTAAACAAAAATTAACATTGCATATGTCCTTCTGTGCGCTTTGCTTGCATCATTTAGCATGGTGTCTTGACATGCCATGTGAGTTCACGGCAATCTTTCTCTTTCCACAGCTGCGTGGTACCCCACTCTGTGCCACCGTTAATTCAGCACGTTTCCCGTGTGTGGGCATTCAATATTTTTTAACTATAAAAAAACCCCTGCTATACTGGATAACTTTGTTTGTTTGTTTATTTGAGATGGAGTCTCACTCTGTCACCCAGGCAGGGTTGCAGCAGTGTGATCTCTGCTCACTGCAACTTCCACCTCCTGGGTTCAAGCGGTTCTCCTGCCTCAGCCTCTTGAGTAGCAGGGATGACAGGCACCCGCCACGATGCCTGGCTAATTTTTGTATTTTTTTTAGTAGAGACGGGTCTCCAACTCCTGACCTCAAGTGATCCATCCTATTCGGCTTCCCAAAGTGCTGACATTGCAGGCATGAGCCATGGTGCCAGGCTGGGTGACTTTACATACAGGTATTTCTGCACAGTGGGGCATATCTTTGAAGTAAAAACCTAGGGAGAAAATTGTTGAGTCAAAGGGTAAGTGGGTATACAGTGCTGTGAGATGCTGCCAAACTCTCCTTTGGAAGGATATTGTATCTTGCATCCCCATTAACAGCCGTGTGAATATATTATCCCACAGCCTCACCAGGAGATGTATTACCAAGCTTTTGACTCTTTTTTCTGCCAATCCAACAGGTGAGAAACGGTAACTGCTCTCCTTTTAATGATTATGTATTCAATTGTGAGTGAAAGTGAACATTTCTTTTTTCCTTTTTTTTTTAAATCCTGCTTCTTCTGTATAAGGTGATTATCTTTTAATATGGCCCAGAGCCATTTATTCTGTCTTGGATGATCTATTTATGCCTTTGCCCATTTTCCCACTAGATTTGTGTATCTTTTCCCCTGTGTGTTTCTACATGTTCTTTATAAAAGATAAAACATGTTTCTACATGTTTTATCAGGGATATTGGTCCATTACCTTTGATGTATGTTGTACACATTCTCCCTCCAGTTGCCATTTGTCTTTGTAACTCTTGTTTAATTGCATCTGGGTTTTCAGTCATAACTAAAAGCCTTTCTCCATCCATAGCCACATGCATTTTTTTTTTCTAGGACATTTAGGTCCCTGCTGACTTTACTCTCTCCTCTTTCCCTCTCTCCTAGGGTGAAGAAGGGAATTTAAGAACACTTCACCCATCTGGAACTAGGAAACGCTGTGGGAGCAGACATCGCCAAGCATCTGTGGTAAGAAGCGTCCCACCCTTCCTTCGGGCAGAGCCTGGGACCTTAGGAGCTTAGAAGCTGCTAGACTGTGGGACCCTAGTTGATGAGAAGCAGCAGGTTAGAGGTGGGCATGCTGGAAACAGCAGGGAATGTCATCTGTCCAGCCCGATACCAGGATTTTTCTTAGAGGGCAGGAAAAACTGTACAAAACCAGAGAAACAATTTTCAAGATTCTACGGGGGAAATTTCCACATATAATTTCCATCCTCTACTTACATAAAAGTAGAGATTGCCAGAAACCTCTGTGTGCCTAACACCCAGCTGTTTCAGAAAAAAGAATTTACAAACCTCTCATTTCGACGCATAGTCTCTGACGTTTCCTGCAACACCCACCCATCGAGTGTCGGGATCCTCACTGTGGCCCATCTCAGCTCAAGAGAGCACGATGTTCATGTTGATGACCTTGACTTTGCAGAGAAAACAATACTGTTCAGTGTGGTTCTCTGAAGAGGTCAGAGAAGTGGGTAATCCATTAAAAAAAAAAAAAAGACTTCCAGGAAAATGCTTCAAAGGTTTGATGCTGAAAGTGGTGGCTGCTTAGCTGCTTGGGACTTATCTCCACGCAGAGGGCTTTGCCGTGACGGAGGCGTCCCGTCCTGCTTCCCTGCAGACATGAGGCATCTCCACGCAGAGGGCTTCGCCGTGACGGAGGCGTCCCGTCCTGCTTCCCTGCAGACATGGGGCATCTCCACGCAGAGGGCTTCGCAGTGACGGAGGCGTCCCGTCCTGCTTCCCTGCAGACATGGGGCATCTCCACGCAGAGGGCTTCGCCGTGACGGAGGCGTCCCGTCCTGCTTCCCTGCAGACATGGGGCATCTCTACGCAGAGGGCTTCGCAGTGACGGAGGCGTCCCGTCCTGCTTCCCTGCAGACATGGGGCCAGTTGTAGCTGTGGATTCCACACTCTTCCTGCCATTATGGTTTTTGGCATTAGTGCCAATTTTCTGGGTTATCCTCTGACAAGCCTAAGGTTAGTATTTACAAAAAAGCAAACAAAGTCACCCACCAATGCCAAGCCGCTCAGTGCTGATATGTGAGAGAACAATGCCCCTAGCCACAGAATGACAGCCAGGCGGCAAATGAGCTAAACCTTGTATTTCTTTTTGTGCAAGGAGCGTTGTATCAAGAATAGGCATTAACAATGGAAAGCCCTTCCTTCCATGCTTTCCTGTTTCCTACCAATCCCTCTCCACGTGGGTTTATAAGCTTTCCGTCGTCTTGGCCATCCTATAAATAAATACCGTTTCGTAGGGAACAGGGTCTCTCTGGGCATCGCCATACGGTCTCTGTCCAAATTGCTTCAGGGTCTTCCACCCTGCACGTTGATCACCTCCCAGTTACCTCTCATGGCTTCTGGGCAGGGCAACCTAAACTCCCCGCCAGGTTTCTCTAACACACGCACTGCCAACCAGCCCCACAAGGGAACATGGTTGCAAAGAGAAATGGAAAGAGGTTGAAGCCTAGCAAGAGCAGGTGAGGAAATGATGGAGGAGGAAGAGGTGGGTGTGTCCTTCCCTCTCAGGCAGTGGAGACAATCCAAGGAAGACAGGTGGAATGGGGGGAGCCGGAGAAACTCAATCCCCAAAAGTCAGAGTGTCCGACACCTTTACTGAAGAGGAAGAGCCAAGTGTGGAGGAGGAGAGAGAGAAATGGTTTAGTTTGATCCAAGTGAGGTAAACCCTGGGTTGCATCCAGGTGAATGGAGCTGGGGAAGACCAAGGGGGAGGTCAGTGGAGGGCTGATGGCTGGGGGCTTGGAGGAGTTTGCTGTGCGGTGGTAACTCCACAGGGTGAGACAGGAAAAAAGTAGGGAAGAGGGAGGAGGAATGGACCGAGGCCAGTGTCTGGAGGTGGACACACACCGGGAGCCGCTGACTTGCAGGTTCTCCGTGTGAACCACGAATAAAACGCTAAGCTCTTTAGCTGGCTGAATTGGCCCCCCTTCTCAGTTAAGGGGATTCTAAAGAAACCTAAAAACTTACTTCACGCCACAATGGCCAAGAAGGGATCAGACATGACTCATGATGCCTTTGTCCTTGAGAGTTCAGGCTCAGCTGACCAGCATTAGCCTCAAAACACACATCTTAAGACAGACAAAGCAGACTCTTGCTAGGCATGGTGGCTCATGCCTGTAATCCCAGCACTTTGGGAGGCCTAGGCAGGTGGATCACCTGAGGTCAGGAATTCAAGACCCACCTGGCCAACGTGGTGAAACCCCATCTCTACTAAAAATACAAAAAGTTCACCAGGTGTGGTGGTGCTCGCCTATAGTCCCAGCTACTCGGGAGGCTGAGGCAGGAGAACCGCTTGAGCCCAGGAGGCGGAGGTTGCAGTGAGCTGAGATCGCACCACTGC